TATATATATATATATATATATATATATATGTGTGGCTAGCTGATGAGAGCTAAATAGCTTGAAATAGATCTATACTAGTCTCCCTTTATTTATTTATCAGCACAAATATAACAAACATATATATGTTTGATGCCAGCCCGGGAGCACCGCTGGCATCAACCCTCCGTCAGCCGGCCCATCCCCGCCCTTTGGCCTTACCTTTGAGGACTTCTAACAACAGGATCAGAATTGCAGTTGAAATGAGAAGTGCCGCTGGATGCTGGAAGATAAGGCCTGTGGCTGGAAGAGGGGCAATGTGGGGGATGCAGCCTTGTGGTCGGCGAGGCACCTCCTCCCCAGGCCCCTGTTAGCCAGGAAAAGCCAGCTATACGAGGAGTGGCTGGGAGGAGAGGGGTGAGGCGCTGGGCTGTATCCCACCACTCTGGGGGCCGGATACATTGTATTGGCTGTAGTTTGAGGACCCCTGCTCTACGTGTCTAAATGTGACTTCCACCAGACCCATTTGGACTACCTGGGTTATCGCGTATCCAGCACCGGGATGGAGATGGATCCCACCAAAGGTCAGGAAGTCCTGGAGTGGCAGGTGCCTAAGACACGCAGGCAGATGCAGTTTCCTTGGCTTTGTAAATTTCTATAGGCAATTCATTCCCTTGTTCCCAGGGTGGCCTTGCCATTAATGGATCTGTTGAAAACCAAACAAAAGGTAGCTAAACCCCGACCTGGCCAGCCCCTCCAGTGAACAATGGTATGCCAGTGGGCTTTTGAAACACTGAAGGCCTTATTTGCCAAGGAGCCTGTCCTTAAACACCTGGACCCTGAGCTGGCCTTTGTGATCCAGGCCGATGCCAGTGATGTGGCTGTTGGTGCTGTCCTTCTCCAAGCAAACAAGCAGGGCAAGCTGCAGCCCTGCGCCTATACCTCCCGCAAACTCACACCCAAGTACCAATGGGGAGGCGGAGCAGACTAATGCCATGGTGGAGAGGTACCTTAGATGCTATGTCACATAGCAGAAGACCAACTGGTAAGAACTCCTGCCATTTGCAGAGTTGGCATATAACAATGCGGTGCACAGCAGCATGGGCTTCACCCCCTTCAGGGTAGTTAATGGAGTGGAATTCGTCCCAAACACAACATCCTTCTTTACATGCTGTAGAAAGTGTATCAGTTGGTGCATCTCTTCCACAGTCAACAAACATAATTCCTATTAACTTAAGTATTTTAACTCAAATATTTATACATGTCACCATCATCATATCTCCCTTTTTCATTTGATTATAATTGTTTAAGCGTC